CCCCTGGGCTCCCAGAATCCCGAAGACCTGATCTAAGCCAGGCGCTGTCTCCCCACTGCTCCAGAAATGCTCGTTTCCTTTACCTATAGAATAGAGTGGGATGGGGAGGCTGACGCCAGCCCCCTGTGCCCGGTCATTGTCCACAGGTGCACAGTGATGATGGCACCTCAGGGCCTCCTGTGCCTTTCAGCGCCCCGTCACCCTCCCCCAGCCTGAGGAGCGAGGCTGCCTCAAGGTTACCATGAGCTGGGCTGGGGCTGGGGCTGGGGCTGAGGGGACACCCCACCTGGTATCAGAGGCCCTGGCGGGTGGCCCCTCGCACCCACACCACGGACCGGAAATCAGTAAACAGTGCGGTTACATTTTTAGCTGGTCTCACTGCAGTGACTTTTTCTTTTTAACTTCGGGGGCTTCTGAGAGTTGTCTTGTATTTATCAGAACACCTGGCAACTGTCCGTTTGTCACAGCAAAAGGGCGTCTCTGGGGTCTGGGCTCTGTGTGGCGTGATCCTTACACTTGTTCTGTCCCTACCTGAGCCCAAACAAGCAGGCATTCGTGTCCCTGCTCTGCAGCTGAGGACATGGAAGGTTAAAGAGGTTAAATCAAGTCCCCAAGGCCCCAGTTGAGAAGAGGCAGTGCTGGGATTTGAACCCAGCTCCATGTGTTGTCATGGCTCCTTCCACATGGCTCCCACAGTCCAAACCCAAGTGCTTCCCACCCACCCCTTTCCCTCCCTCTTCCTTCCCAAAGCCTGGGACGGGCCCCATTCCCCAGCAACCCCACTTCTTCATCTAACAAGCTCCAGCTCCTCCTTCAAAACCCGGTTTTAGTGTTGCTCCTTCTGTGAGGTCTCCCCCAGGAGGAATAGCCAGCTAGGTGGCTCTGTGCCACTCGGCCACGGGCTGGGACCAGGGTGGGGCAACTGAGGGCCCATTTAAGGAGGCACTACCCCCAGGGGCATGCAGGGCAGAGTTGGGGTGGGGGTCACAACAAGCTTGGACTAAAATCAAGAGAGGCTTGAGGACATGGAGCTGAGAACTTAAGCCGACCAAGTACAGAGTTGGGGGAAATGCGTTTAGCACCGGCCCTTCTCATAGAAGAGATCAGAGACGTTTAACCGAGGGGAGACGTTTGGAGAGACGGAGGGAGGAAGGGAGAAAATGAAGGAAGAGGCAGTGTCCTCAGGCCGGGATTGTCACATCTGTCCCCTGCCGACAAGTCCCTGCAGAGATGTGGAGGTCAAGACCACAGGTCAAATAAGAGGAATTAAAGAGCTGGACGGTTTTCACATCCTGGGCTGTGACCTGGAAGCTGCGCGGTCCCTAGAGATGTCCTGCGTCCAGACAGCTCGGAGCCGGAACGTGGGGCTGAGACGGCTGAGCCTCTGCCTGGGGACACGTCACAGGGTCCTGCACTCCCCTGCGGAAGGGTGGTTGGGAGCCTCCTTCGACTCCGTCCGCTGCAGTTACACTTTTACCCACTTAAATTGTGAAACTCAAGGTGCCATCAATGTGCTTCGTTCCCGCCCAGCTTACAGAGCCCCAGCCGGCCCCTGAGGCCCTCAGCGAGCGTTTATCTCCATCTTCTAACGTCAGCCCGCAGCCTCGCTCCCATCGCCGCGCGGAAATTGCTTTCTCCAGGGCTGTGCCCCTCCGCCTGGCTGTCACCAAAGTCCACGGCCCGGTGAAGCCCACGCTGTAACAGCCCCTCCACCGTTGCTTAGGCGGGGCCTGCCCGGGGCTCCGCGGTGCGCTCCGCACATTCCCCGCGACCTCAGCGGGTGCTTCGGGTGCCTGCTGTGTGTCCAGGCTCTGGGGACACCAGGCGTTAGCCGCCTGTCCCCATCCTGACCGCCCCCAGCCCCGCCCCGACCTCTTCTGGAGCCCGCTCAGCGTCCGCTTCACGTCCCGCGGCAAAGGGATCGCCACCCCTTGTCAACCCAAACAGCGTGCCCGTCGATGTCCGCACCAGAACCCCAGCGCCTCTCGGTCCCCCCGCGGCTCCGGCAGCCCCTGAACAGTCCCCCCTGCTGCTCCCCGCCGCCCTTTCTCGGCTTGGCCCTCGCTCCCCACCCTCCTTCCAGCACCTGTGGGTCACCGTCTCTGTCCGCCTGGGTCTGGCATCAGCCTCCTCGCCCCCTACCCTGTGTCCCCAGCTCCCAGCTGGCCCAGCCCCGGCCTGGGTAGCAGCCAGAGGGAATTTTCTGAAGTTATTGCTCTGCCTAAAGTCACTTGGGGCTCTCCTTTGCCCTCAGGCTGAAGTCCAAATGATCTGGCAAGTTTCCAAAGCCCTGGAGACATCTCGGGCGCACCTGTCCCCACCCTCCTCTGCCCTTGACCCCGCAGCCGTACTGAACCTGTGAGACCCTTCTGCCTGGAATGCTGTCCCCTGCCTGCCCCCTTCACACATATTCCCGTTTGTCCCTTTTAACTCCCAATCCTCCTTCAGAGGTAGGTATAGATGCCACTTCCTCCAGGAAGCCTTCCCTGGCCTCATCCCTCACAGGGCGGCTGCCAGCCCAGCAGGTCTGAGAGAAGGTGAGCTACCTCTCAGTGGGCGTGACAGCTAAGTGAGTGTGCGGACATTGCTCTCTGCCTGTGTGCGACACGTTTAACATAAAACATGCGTGACACCTGAGCGCAGTGGTTCCTGAGAGTGAGCGGCGACTGTAGTACTGATTGTACACGGCACCTAACACATGCCAGGCACTGCTTCAAGCATTCTGCATAGTCTAACTCGGGTAATGGGCTAGCAACTTGATAGGTATTATTATCCCCATTTTGCAGAAGGTAAAACTGAGGCCCAGAGAGGTCAAATAACTTGCCCTAGGTCTCGCAGCGATGAAGTGGTAGAATCAAGGTTTGAAGGCAGGCAGCCCACACGTGGCTCTGAGGCTATGCTGTGCTCAGCAAGCGGAAGTCATACATGCTGGCAGGGGCGACCCTCTGGGGTGCCCCCTCCTTGGCACAACAGTGTAGAGAGATGGAAAGGAGCCAGGTGGAAAAGGAAGAGCCCAGGGTGGGAGCTGGGGGCGGCCAGAGTCCACCCACACCTCTGCCACCAGAACCGCCACCACATCGGGCGCCATCCTCAGGGGCAGAGCAAGGTGGCTCCCCCAGATCAGCCCGGTCCATTTGTGGGCCATGCCTGGGTCCTGATTCAAACAAATCAAAGGTCACAGATGCTTGTAAGACAAACAGAGAAGTTCGAACGCTGGCTCGATGTTTGAGGCCTAGTATGTTGTAAAAGCTGGGCCGGGAGAGGTTTGCCCGACGCCTGGGGTTGAACTTGCCCGTAGGGAGAGCCCTCTGACTGCAGCGCGCAGCTCTAGGGCTCGGGGCTGTGGTCGCAGATACACGGGCCTCCATGAGCAGCAGGACCAACTCTGTGTCATTCGCTGTGTGACACGTGGTCACGCTCTTGCCGCAGAGCCCTTCTTTATCTCAGAGATAAACACTAGACGGAGGGCGTCAGAGTTTTGCTCACCGATAGGGGAGGAGGGTGGGAGCCGGTGAAAGAGACGGGGCGGGAGCTGAGGACCACTGAGCTGGGGATGACCATGGTACATGGGGTCCACTGTGCCATTCTCCCCACTTTTGTGACTGCTTGAGATTTCCCCAAGTTGGATCTTTTCAAAGGCTCCACCTCTGGCTCTGTGAAGATTTTACTATCGTCTTCAGTCCGTCTGTCTTGCTCTGTAAACGGGTTGAACTGTCGGCATCTGACTTGCCAAAGGAAATCTGCGGCTGTGGGGTTGGGGGGCGAGATTTCCACCTGCCCGCGTTTGGGGGGTGACAGGAGCTTTGACAGCTCACAGGCAGCTGAGGTGGGAGGTGGGGCCGGGAGGGAAAGGATCCAAAGTCTAACGTTATAAATAAGTTCTGGTCATCAGGCTCCGTCTCCGTGGGGCCGAGGTGAATCCCGACGACAGAGCCGTGCAGGCCCCGGGCCGGGTGAGTGGTCCCCACAGCAGGAACCAGGAGCTGTCGGTCAGGCTTCTAGAAGCAGCGCCTGAGACAGGATCCTGTGGCCGCTGCTGGGCGAGGGAGTGCTCTGGGAGAAGCGGA